CCCGCCCCCCCGCCGCTGATTCGCTTGGTGCAGGTCGGGACCGGGGCCGAATCCTTGCGGATTGGAACTGGATCCTGCCTTGCATCAACTGAATCGGCGGCGGAGAGCGACGATTTGATGATCCTGATGTCGGATTTTTATTCATTTTCCTGATTTTATTTGATGAATGGTTGACTTTCTTGGATCTGTTGAAGTTTGCAGTGATTTATTATGTTTTCTCTCTTTTTTTTTTTGGAGCTTGATTTTTATTCCTGGGAGCTTGATTTTTATTCCTGCTTGCTTGATTTTTATTCCTGCTTTGTCGTCGAGATTTTTCATTTTTGGTAAAAGTAGCGAGCTTTTGATCTACTGATCTTAGTTAACTGTGTTTTTGGTTTGTGCTGATCTGTTTGGTTGGTGTGCTTACTCAGAGAAGTTAGTATCTCTGTAAGTTAATTCATGAGATTGCAGCTTGCTCGATCTTCTTTAAGGCAATTAATGGAGTAATTTTGACGGGGTCACTGCTACTCTTGATGTGTTTTGCGATTAAAAATTCGATTTTTTTGCCTTTTGTTTCATTTTCTGTGGCTGTTAATTTCTGTTTAATTGAGATTGTGTTTTGTAAGGAAGACATGATTTTTTTTGTAGAAAACACTTTGCAGGAAGATTTACATTCATACCATTATATTCCTATGTATTTGCATAACCAACAGCTAAACTTAAATATTTACATATAGGTCACCTTGCCTATGCATGAAAAGATGCATCTCACCATTTGAAAGTTAAACTAGTGGTGTTTCAGATGAACTATATGAAGTTAGGGTCTTTCGTTAAATTTATGTAGATCGCAAAGCTTTCTATGTGAAAACGTGCAGAAAAGAAGTTGCTATGAATGTTTGGATTGTTTATTGTTTCAATAGGTTCTTATATACAAAATTACATAGAAAGAAGAAGGAATTAAATAATTACAATAAGGGAGCAATGTGTAGGCTTGTTTTCTTACTTTCTTTATATGAATCCTTAATAGAGATATGTCGTTATAAGTGATGAATCCATGACCTCTAATTTTCCTTATCTAGCAATCCCTGCACTTTGATGGTCCTTCAACAAAATGGCGTTCAGTTGATATTGTTTTCTATTAAATACATTATGTTTGGTTTAACATTTTCTTACTAAAACAATGTTGGGCCATTTACATACATACCGCACAATTCTTTTATGCTTTCATATCTAACCCCTAAACTTGGATATTTATAAACATACAACTTAAGTTTTTAACATCGCATAAAAAATACCACTATTACTTACATTTTAAAAATGAAATACACATTTTCATGCATAGATTTATGATACCAATGTGTTATAAATTTAAGCATCAAACTTTAGGTTTTAGATATGTAAATACAAACGAATTGTGTGGAACGTATGTAAATTTTCCAACAACGTAATGTTTTCTAGATAGTTTAAAGGTGGTCATGATCTAGAAACTTTTTGTCCTTTTAAGTTTGATTATAAATGTTTTGTTTAGGTTAAGTTTGTAATTGGATTATTATAATTGCAATATGCAATTGCCTCAATCTCTATCACCCCTTTCACTTTAGAAAGTTGGGACTATTTGTACTTCATTTTTAACAAAACCATTTGTTGAACCCAATAAAAAAATAATTGTATATAGGGTTGGGGTAATGCATTTTGTGAATAGCATCATATTGGGTGAGAAAAACACATTATTCTATGTGAGCGTACAGTAGAACTGCGTTTTTGTTCCAACTCTTGTTTTCTTCTATGTGAGTATATTACCGAAGGGGCTTTTTGGTCGCAAGTAGGATTTAACGTTAGTTGGATTTTGTAAATCCTTAAATCCACATTCACTTGGATTTGGTAAATCCATGTTTAGGGGATGTTTGGTTGCAAGTTGGATTTAGTTTAGACAGGATTTAGTAAATTCTATAAATCCTGGTTTATGAAAATTTTTGGTATGTTAATAAGTAAATCCTAATTAATCTGGAGAAACTGTTTGGCAACTTCAGTAGGATTTACTAAAGCTCTCGTATCCCCAATGCTTCAGCTTTTCTAAATCCGGTAAGTCCTACTTCCAGCTGGATTGACTGACTAACTGGTTTAAGGCAAAACGAAGGAAAAATGGGATTTAAGAATCTTTAGAATTTACGCATATTTGTTTTGCCATTTGGCACAATTTAGCTTAAATCATGTATAAATGCTGCTTAAAATCGGCTACCAAACAGCCCCTTAAACCCAAATCCAAGGCTAAATTGGATTTATTAAATCCAAAAAAATTCATAAATCCATGTAACTTCTACATTTTGCTGTTTCGCTAGAACTACACTTGTATATTCTATTGAAACCCATCTACCAAACATTCCCAAATGAAGAATTTTATTAGATGAGAGAACTCTTATTTGGTTGTCATCTTGTTCTTCTTTACTACTCGAGCTTTGGAGTTGTTTGCCTCCATACAAAAATGCGCTCGTGGTTTCTTCTTCACTTCTAAATTTTACTTTTTATATCTATACCATCTAAATATTTCATATCATATCAAAAATACCATTATTTTAACTTTTTAAATGTGAAATACACGTCATGCATATGCAAGGTGATATATATGTAAAAACTGAAGTGTAGTTTTTAAATATGTAAATACCTAGGAATTAGTTGGTATGCATGTAAATCTTTCTTCTTTTGTTCTATTGAGAACACTGTTGAGTGTCACAATGAAAAACTAGGTTTTATGTAAAAATGCTAATTTCAGGTTTTAGAATTGTTTTGATGTGGTTGCTGGGTTAAAGTGGTTGTGTAAATATCAAAAATTAAGCATTAAATATATGAATGAACATGAATTTCGTGGTATTTATGTAATTTTTATATTTTTATATTTTTATATTTTATTTATTTATTTATTTATTTTTGTTTGGGTGCACTGAATCGACCAGGTTATTGCTTGCTCACTTATGTTTATGTGTTCTCAGTTAGAGGGAAGATAATGGAGCCTGTGGAGTAGAAATTATGTTCAACGCATGGAATCTCTTATAATCATAACAATTATGCATTTTACTATGTATTTTTTTTGATGTATCTGTGACCCGCATGATTATTGTAAATATTCATTTTAGATGTAAATTATACTGTCTGTATAAACAAAGTTAGACTTTCATTATTTCCACATTTTGTTATTTTTTATTGGTTATTTGTGGCTAATTTTATGTTTGCATTTATAAATTTATCTATGTTGGCATGAATCTCAAAAAAATTTGAAGGTCTAAGGTGAATGTCCTTAATATTAAGAGGGCATGCCAAAAAATCGGTCAACGAACCAGCTATCCGACCAAAAATTGCAAGCTGAGACTGCCCAAGTCATCAGGGCAGTCAAGGTGCTATCAGCCTGAGAGGCTAATTAAACGACGCACGAAGAATTGTCGTAGCTTGGCACTACAATGAAGTCAAGCTGAAGGAGAGGTTAGCTTCCATGACTGTCATACAGGGATCACTTAGCCATCTCTCTCAAATGCCACAAAAGAGTACAAGTCTCTGCCTGATGACATATTTTATTTTGTCGATAGAAACCTCTTGGTGAAGATCAAGGGTCGATCGTACTATTCTCACTAATACATAAAACTCAGTTGATCAATTCGGGCCTACCGACCCACAGTTAGTGAGTCGAGCATTATGCTCGACAACACTAACATGGACAGCCAACTGACATAATCATCGACACCCTATTCAGTCCAACTGGCCGAGCCAGAGAACAGTATGGCCTCAGGCTCACAAGAGTAATACCTAAAATAACTTGTACAGACTCTACTTAAGTGGTAGTATAAATATAACCTCGTTTGTTATTTCCGCTCGTCTATAATTAGGAGATTATTCTATGGATAAAATGTTACACAACTCTTTATTTATACTCTTTATTGCTCTGCTCTCTTAATTTCTCTACACTCTATTCGATGGTTGTGATTCATAGGATAAATTCGGATTCAATAATTAGAATATATTCTTGATTTATTAGACATATATGCATATAAATATATAGATTCACATATAAATATTAATTAAATAAATAAATATTAGCTTTTTAATCAAAAGAGAACAAACTTCAATCAAATAATATTCTCTTCTCGGATAGCTAGTTTATTTCATGGATTGCTATTTCTTATTTTATAAAAATAGAAATATAAATTTCTCTCTCTCTTTTTCTAATCTCTATAGATATATATATATATTATAGTATGGGGGCAAATTAGTATCTCTTTCTCTCTTTTCTAATCTCTATAGATATATATATATATATATTATAGTATGGGGGCAAATTAGTAAAGTTAATTTTCTGAAACCAATGAACCCGGCCCGGTTCTATCCAAAACTGTGAACCCTGGCTATAGACCGAAGAGTCGACCATAGATCTTATTCAGATAGGCTTCCCCCGTCGACCGAGGAGACTACGAGCTGCCGCATCGTCTGTGGGTTCTCACAGGTCTCAATTCTCTCTCTCTCTTCATTTGCTCTTTATCTTCTCCCCTTTCGCTTCAATCTGGCCGACGTCTCACTCTTCCTCTGTGTTAGTGCTTATGAGTTAGATGGCGACTAGGCTTGCTAATTATTCATATCAAACACATAATTTTTTCAAACAGTACAAATTCTTCCAACCAAACAGCCCCTAAATTTTCCTAAAAAATAGTATTGTTGCTTTTGAAATAAGATGGGTTGATTATGCCTGTTAGCAGATTATAAGTTCCCCAAAAACGGACACCGGTTGAGTTCAAATGAAAGCGAATGGGTACCAAACTCTTCTCTTTCTTTCCCTCCCAAATCACTCCCGCCCCTGCATCTCTCTCTCCTTCCCAGGTCTATCTCCAGTAGCTTCTTTTCACCGTTTTCAATCCGATGCAAAATTTCAAAAGCAGCCCGCGGGAAACCGGGATCGATCTCAAAATCAAAATTCGAAGAAGAAAAAAAGGAACTTTCTTGGGAATTATACAACGGTTTGATCCAAGCTCACTGCACCAGTGGCTCCATTGACGAATCCATCGCTCTACTTGGCCAGATGGAGGCACAGGGAATGCACCCTAGCATTCTGTCATATTGCTGCATGATTGATGCTCTTGGCAGCCATGGCAGAACCCTGGAAGCCGAGGCAATTTTTCAAGAAATGAGGTGGCTTGGCCTCCGTCCTAGCCAGAGAGACTACAACTTTCTTCTTAAAGGGTTCTTGCGTAAGGGACAGCTGTTTCTCTCTGATAAGTTGCTGGTGAAGATGAATGAAGAGGGGATCGAGAGGAACAGAGAGACTTACATTCTCCTCCTTGACGCCTATGTCCATGGTGGCAGGTTAGAGGACACTTGGTGGGTTCTCGGAGAGATGAAGCAGAGAAAAATCAGATTGAATTCCTCTGTTTATAGCAAAATGGTGAGGATATATAGGGATAATGGCATGTACAAGAAGGCGATCAGTCTTCTCATGGAGATGCAACAGAAGGGGATTGCCCCAGATAGAAGGTTTTACAATGGTTTAATAGATACATTTGGAAAATACGGCGAGATTGATGAAGCTCTCAAGGTGTTTGATAAAATGCTTAGCCAAGGTTTCAAGCCTGATATCATGACTTGGAACTCATTGATTCGGTGGCACTGCAAGGTTGGGGATCTGAAACGAGCGCTTGCTTTCTTCTCAGAGATGCAAGAAGAAGGACTATATCCAGACCCCAAGATTTTTCTAAACATTATTAGTAGATTAGGAGAGGAAGGGAAGTGGGATGAGATAAGAAATATATTTGAGAGCATGAAGTGTAGAGGTTTTGGTAAGAGTGGAATTATTTATGCAATTATTGTTGACATATATGGACAGTATGGGAATTTCCAAGATGCTGGGAAGTGTGTGTCTACTCTTAAGGAAGAAGGCTTGAAGCTCTCAGCTAATGTTTTTTGTGTGCTAGCAAATGTCTATGCTCAACAGGTATAGTTTGTACTTGAAATGATGACTTTTTTTCATAGTTCAATATATCAATGCTTGTTATCATTCACCATTTCAATGGTTGTTTCTATAATTTAAACTTTCCTCTGATATGATTCAACCGCAAAATTGGCATGTTTTTCTAGAAAAATTAGGGCAAACGTACTATTTCTTCAATAAATCTAACAACTCTACAAGAAAATAAAGGTAAACACCTACAGTTCGAGAGGTAGGTAACCTCCCAATTCCTACAATTCGAGAGGTAGGAAATCTCTCCTAAAGCCTAGACCTAAAGACTCACAACTCAATCTCATGCATAAACTAACCCTAGACATAACAAGCCTATTTATGCCTAACAATAATAGTAATAAAAGATTAAATTTCTCTTGGGCATACAAAAGACGAATTTGCCCTTATGCTAGGCGCTTTCGTAACATCTTCAATTTTTACGTCAATTCCCTTCTAAAATTTATGATCTTTGATAGGGGCATTTACATACACGGCACACAATTCCTATGTATTTACATATCTCACACCAAAACTTTCATATCTACACACATAGCACTCAAATCCTTAGTATCACACCAAAAATAGCACTATTAATACTTTTTAAAAGTCAAATACACCTTTTCATATATAAATATAAAACAACAAAGGACTATGTATGTAAATATAAAATTTTAGGTGTATGGCATGCATATACATACGAATTGTGTGCTTTGTGTGTAAATTTCCCTTTTGTTAAACATGGTGACCAGAATTCAGTTTGACCCGTCCATAATGCTTGTGGTATGACAATTTTGGTGAATGGTGAGAGGGCAAATATAAGTCATTCACATGTGTGTGTGTGTGTGTTTGTGTGTGTGTGTGCCACGTACCCCGGCCTATTGGTTGGCATCTATGGTATAAGACTCCTCGCGTACCTCGGCCTATTGGTTGGCATCTATGGTATAAGACTCCTTAGGTCGGTGGTTTGAATCCCCTTCGGCACAGTTGGCCTTCATGAGGTGCTACTCGAATTATTAGGCACATTAGGGGTGGTTGGAGGCTCCTATAATAGTCTCTAGCCATTCATATATATATATATGATATTTTCACTAGGGATTAACACGTTAAGATAATCGACCACTAAAGCCTTAATATTCCACTTTACATTTTTCCTCTCCTCTGACTTATGATTTTTTATGGTTAGGATTTTCACGTAAATTTTTGTGTTATTCTCGTTGCATCTTTTACCGTTCATCAGATCAATTTTATAACACTCTTCTCCATAGGGTTCATGTGAACAAACTCTGAAAGTTCTGAGTTTGATGGAAGAGGAAGGAATTGAGCCAAATCTTATAATGCTGAACTTACTGATAAATGCATTTGGTATTGCTGGCAGATACATGGAAGCTGTTGCTGTGTTTGAGCAGATTAAGGAAGCTGTATGTATTTTTTTTATTTCTTATAATAAATGAATGAAAAGTTGCATTCACTTCAATAATTTTTGCATTTGTGCCTCTTTTCTCTTTTTTTTTTTTTTCATTAATATAATAATGATTGTTTCTTCTCAAGGGCATCAGCCCAGATGTCATATCCTACACAACACTCATGAAGGCTTTCATCAGAGCTAAGAAGTATGAACAGGTCAGTATTTCAGAACTTGTTTAGAATCAAATTTTAGTTTTTATTTTTGTTTTTTTTAACATATTTGTTTATATATATATATATATATAAAATAATATAATAGAAAGAAACCCACACTGACTCATGACTAAGTCATCATGGCGCATTTTCTTTGTATGGCATAAATTATGATCCACCATTAAAAAAAAAAATTTACTCTGCTAGCATAGGCAGTTCCTTAGCATTGGGGGCACTTGCTGTACAAATCAAAAATATTAAAGAATAATGAATAAACCAGACATAAAATTAATATTAAAAACTCAAAGAAATCGGTAAACACGAAACACATATGCAAGACTTTATGAGATTTCAAAATGAGGTCTCAACAGATGAATCCAATTATTGTATGAGCAGTTAGTATTTTGCCAACTTGAATTAGTGTAATTTAGAATGGAGTTTAAGATAATGAAGCTTTATCATAGTAGCGACCCAACTCATAATACATTCTAGATTCATGATAGCCAGTTGATGAACTCACACACTTCGGCTTAACACAACCGCATGAGTCGGATACCACGAACCTTATGCTGTTTGGTGTGGCTTCGCTGTGCAAATGGCATGCTGCAACATGCATAAGGAGGCCACACAATAGCAGCCGAGTTGGCTTAACTATCTCTCTTGTTTCATCCTTAACTTATGAGCTGTTGTAACATTCAGGTTCCAATAATATATAGACAAATGGAGTTTGCTGGATGCACTCCTGATAGAAAGGCCAGGGAGATCCTACAGAATGCTTTAATTACACTTGAACAACGAGGTGTTTAAGTAGCTGCAAATTTGTTTTTCTGAAAGTTTGTTTTTGACATGTTTCATCATATGTTGCTAAAGTGTGCTTTCTTTACAGGTCGCTTAGTTAATTAAACTAAAGATAATGGGGCTATTTGAAAAATTCACTGATACTGTCATTCTTCCTGGAGGAAATTTTCACCAGGTGATGATATTTTCTCCTTTCTCTTGATAGCATTGGACGGCATTGAAATTTCAATTCTTTATCTTTAGCTGTCTCCTTCTTCAATGAATATTAACCCTTCTTTTTTCCTTTTGCCTTTTTCTTTCACGTTCGGTTGAAAAATTATGTTATATGCATCAAGAAGGCAGCATTGTAAGCAAATATTTTTTATTTTACCAATGTCTGTAATGCAAGTGATTTTATCTTTAATGACTTCAAACTCAAGTAGGATTGAATAAATTCTGTAAATGTAAATGTAGTAAATATTGAAAAGATTAAATTTAAAATTTGTTTGAAATGATATTGTTGAGTCCTTTTTAGTAAGTAGCGTCCTATATTGTTTGTGAGTACATACAACCTGGTGAAATACTTTGCCTCGTGAAAGAAGTGTTAGGGGGAGATAGATGGATGATATCCCTTTGGGGCCCTAAGAAATATATTAATTTTTTATCCCCGACAAACCGGAGGAAGACAATTCCTCTGAGGTTCCTTGAGTTATAGTATTCTACTGAGAGAGGGAGCCTGAGAGAAAACTAAAGATCCAGGGCCTTTTTGGAGGAGTAGAAATAGATCCTTTTCTCTCTCTTTTGATCTCCCTTTTTATATATAAGAGAGAAAGACTAAATTAACCTAAATAGTATATTCAATATTGCACCGTTCCCTCTTTCCTTGTCTTGGGGTAAAGTCAATGGCGTAGATGTCAGATACTATCGAACAATGTCAGATATTGTCAGTACAATGGGTTTCCTCGAGATTTGGTCAAAATTACTAAATCCCGTGTAGGGCGGCGTCTTTAATGAGTTATTGACGGATGTCTTTGTTAGTCACGACAGCTTCCTCGAATTGTCACACTTTGAAGGTAGGCTAGGTTATCTTCTTCGGGAAAATAAAGTTGATCGGCTAAGTCACTTCGCCGAGTGGGTTCGTTTCAGCCGCTTCAACAAGTGAGCTTGATTCAACTACTTCGGCAGATGGGCTCGATGCTTTGAGAAAATTTCAACAAAAATCGTATAAGCGAATTTCTTCTATACTTGTTTTTTAGTATACAAATATTTACTAATTTTTTGTCAAATCTCAATGTACTGTATGGCTATTTGTTTCATGATTCAGGATTTGTGAGAGGAAGTGATCCTTAAATCAGTTAAATCCCGAGAATGGTGGCAACACTTTTTCTGAAACCAATTCTGTCTGTTAGGAATGTAGAAGGAGAACGGAAGCAGCATTAATATAGTTATATTGAAATCAGAGAGGAGCTAACGGTGGCTCTCACATTTTAGTATTTGATAAAAAAATTATATATGTATGTGTAATATGAAAATTATATTCTTAGGATATGATTTTAGTGAACTGATGCACCAAATGGTCAATAAGAACTCCTAAATCTAGATCCTAGGTTCTAAGAGTAGGAGACTTAAGACGTCACTAAAAATGAGGTCAACAAATGGACCCCCAATTGCACAGTGAGGTCTCCTCGTGATTCAGATTTTATAAGCCTGATTTTAATTTGCATGTTTATCTGTAGATACATAGGCTCTTCAACTTGCATCTCCTTTGTAAATATTAAAGCGAAGAATTTTCTTTCACTGAGGTGTATGAGTAACATTTTTGCAATGTTTTCTCCTCGTTTAATCAAATATTCTTCCATGTTTTTACTGCTTGGCTTTATATTTCGTAAATATGTGTGTTTACTGCTAGTATGATACGCCTCGGCACCAAAATCGGCGAACAAACCATGAAAAAATTACAATAGATAAGTGGAAAGACACAAATAAGCGTTGCTCTTACTACAATCAAAGGAAACACAAGCAGGATACAAAAGATGATCTCCCACACCCTAGACGTTGTTGTGAACAACACAAAAGAAAAAAACACAGCAGCCACCAAAATAATGCATGAAAGAAACAAATCTCAGGTTTCCCCCTTGATAAATTCCTCATACAGCATTTGAAAAGTTTTCTTCTAAACTTTCCCTCCAACTCCCCTCAATTTCTCCTCCTTGAATATGTGATTATAGCTCTAGTGGGCCCCACATGCTCCTTTCCTTCCTCTTCCATATCCAGGGATCACTCGATTGTTTGCTGCAAAGAAGATCAACCCGTATGTGGAGGGGACGGGCCGGTTGGGAGGTGTTCAACCGATCTCTTCTGGACCATTCCCTCCTATTGCTCAACAATACTCTCCTCCCAAAGAAGTATCTTGTGGATCACCTTGTAAAGCTCCCATGTTACTTCATAATATGGCAATCATTTCCACTTAACCAAGACCTCTTTTGCTCCCCCTACTTCTCGGAGAACTCCTTCGGTCTTTAGCAGCTCCAAAATCTCCTCGAAGTCTTCCATCAACGTCAGCGGTAGTGTAGACAAAGATGTACGATCTCCAATCACACGTCTCAGCTGTGATACATGAAAGACCGAGTATAGTGTGAATGATGGTGGTAACTTGAAACTGTAGGCCACTGGCCAATGTTTTCTGTCGGTAGGGCTTCAACTACAAGTAGACCATGTCCCTTGGTTCGAATTGCACCTCTCTTTTGTGTCCATCCGCTTTCCTTTTCATTATTTGTTGAGCTCTCATAAGATGCCCCTTGAGCTCTGCTAGTATTTTGTCCCTCTCGTCCAAGTACCAATCAACGATGGATATCGGTGTAGTGCTATGTTCATAATGTATCAGGTGATGTGAATTTCGTCCGTACAATATCTTAAAAGTGGTTGTTTGTGTTGTTGTGCGGTTCGAAGTATTGTACTAATATTCAATCCATGCAATACACTTAGCTTATCAGATACAAAGCAACGCAGATATGTCTCCACGCTTCTGTTCACCACATTCGTCTGTCCATCGGTCTGATGATGATATGCAATGTTTCTTTTAAGAATTGTCCCTTGCAACCTGAATAATTATTTCCATGTCGCTATCCGATACAATCGATTCCGGCACCCCATGCAAACTGACTACGTCCCAGACAAATACCGCCGCAACTGAGACAGTAGTGTAGGGATATCATAATGGAATGAAATGTGCCTATTTAAACGATCCACGACCACCATAATCACTGTGAACCCTTCTGACTTTGGCAACCCCTAAAAAATCTACCATCACTTCCTCCCAAACCTTCTCTAATAATGTTAATGGTTGTAGAAACCCATAGGTGTCGTGGTCAAGTACTTTTGTCGTTGGCACAAATCACATTTTGCCACAATGTCCTCTACTTCTCTGTGCATCCCTACCCAATAAAGCTCTGCCTCCAGACGACTGTAGGTCTTCCCTCCGATCGTACTACCATGAAACACTTGTAATAATATGAGAATATACTCAGAAGACTTGGGTAGCACGAATCACCCTTGGTAGGAGAGTTGTTGTCCCCTCAATGTATATCCTGGATTATTGTTCGCTCTTTTGTCTCAAAACCTCTCAATCTAATACTAAGGGTATCGATAGGACTGTCTATTGGGGTCCTCCAACTTTCTCGACGGTGCGTCAACAGACTTGTTTTCCAATCTTGGCCGATGTCAAATCTCGAAATCATACCCGAATAGCTTGGATGGTCATCTTTGATGTTCTTCAATCACCATCTGTTGCTATAGAAATACTTTAAACACATTTGATTTGTCGTGATAAAAAAATGTCATTCCAACAGGTAGGGTCTCCACTTCTGAATGACCAAGACAATCACCATCAATTTTCGTTCATATACTGGCTTCTACCTCGCTCTAGCTGTAAGAACCTGGTTGAAGTAAGCAATCGGTTGTTGATCATGCATGAGCACTGCTCCAAATTCATATCACGATGCATGTGTGTCTAGGGACAGAGATAGTATGGCTTAGGCGCCTACTTCAAGATTTTCAAACTCCTCTACGCACCCCTACTACTCTATATTGTGACAATACTTCACCTATTGCTCTCGCTAATAATCTCGTCTTCCATGCTAGAACCAAACATATCAAAATTGGCCGTCACCACTTTAGAGAATGCATCAAAAACAACTATATTAATGTTTATCATGTTAACGCTCTTGATCAATTGGTATATTTTTTTTACGAAATCTCTTCCCAATTCCATGTTCAAGTTACTTCGCACCAAATTGACAATCTTCAACAAAGTTCATCATCAATATGAAGGGGGATGTTAAGTCTGTGTCTAGTATAGGTTTTAGTTCTCTCTGGTTTTGTTGTATATGGCTCCCGGTTCAGTTAGTGTTCCGGTTCAGTGTTGTTCGGTTCTTTTATTTTAAGTAGCAACCCACTTCTATTTATATGTCAGTGTTCTCTCTCGTTCATGTATCTCTAGCTTTCAATATATCTAATAATATTTTCCGCTCTGTCGCTCATCAAAATTGTCATGTTATTGTAACAAAATTATAATATAGAGAGACAAGCTATAAACACATAATTCTAAGTTTTAAAAATATCTTAAGAGATATTGGCAATAAATATATGAAATAAAAATACAGACAATATAAATGCAATATATTGCTTTGAATAATTGTCTCCCTCCATTAAAATCATTCACCAAACAATTCTCCTTATTTTTCATAGAGTTATTATAAAAGTATTTGGAAGGTTTATTGTGAAAGGAAAAAGGCCACTGTCATAAATAAGATATTGCAAGAAGACATCTATTTTCTTTATATATATATATATCAAATAAAAATATTACTATTTTAAATTTTAAAAAGTGAAATACACCTTGCATAGGTAAAATGATAAATATACATAAATTGAAGGTAGGTGTTGGGTGTTAGATATATAAATACATAAAAATTGGGGGGTGTGCATGTAAATATTTTCTAAATATGAAAGTTTGAGGAGTCCATATACTTAGAAATTGATGTAGAGTGATCCATTTGATACGATGGTGTTTAATAAGCTTTTAAGTAGTTTAGTGATGTTGAACTCAAGTGATCTTAGGCTCTTTGAATTTTTTTGGGTCGAGATGCTCGATTTGATTATAAACATGCTAACTAACTATGCCTTAGAGAAAATGCATAGGAAAATTTACATATATACCCCACATTTTACAAATTGACATATCTAACACCTAAAGTTTGATATTTATATTTATAATGTTTTGGTATTAAAAATTTACTGATGAGTAAGTGATCTTAGACTCTTTGAATTTTTTTGGTCTAGATGCTCGAATTATAAACATGCTAACCATATACCCCTAAAGTTTGATATTTACATATATACCCCACAAGTTTTACAATTTGACATATCTAACGCCTAAAGTTTGATATTTATATTTATAATATTTTGGTATTAAAAATTTAGTGATAAGAAGATGTATTTTAAAAAAATAAGTGGTATTTTTATGTGCTGACAAAGCTTTGAGTGTTATGTATATAAATATAAATTTTTAGGGGTTAAATGTCTAAATAAGTGAATTGAGTGGTGTATGTAGATGCCCAATTTTGTAATATGATGGCGAAACACATAATTATTGCATACATATTTTATATTTTATTTTTTTTATTAGGCCATCAATTGAATCTTTCAAGCTTGAATCATAAGCCCATCTCCATTTGTATTCTACTATTTTGATATTTGTTATTTTAATATTTGTTGAACTTAAAAGTTAAAATTTTTTTCCAAAATTATATGTAAAGTTTAAATCAATTTTTTTTTTAGAATCAATTCTCTTTGGAGAAAATATTTAGCCCAGACACTTCACGTTCGTACAGCCAACCACCGCACGTCCGACAGCTGATGTGGCGGGCTGTGATTAGCTGTCTGGATCGTGTCGACGGAATATTTTTTCGTCTCCACCTTGTAACTTGTAAGACTTCCTTGAACTTTTGGTCGAAGCGGCAGATTGGACATTATATTTTTATTTTCTTCAAGACTCAAAATAAATGTTCACATTTTAAGTTAATATAACTATAAATAAAAATTTATTCTTGTAAAAACTTTAGTTGGGTTTCACCAAGATCGTCGGCCATTTAAAATTTTTTTAATGTTCTATTTTCACATTGTAGGTAAAAAAATGTGTTGGTGCAGGCCTCATGGGAATCTAATGGTTTTGTTTTGTCTAATGGTCCAAAACGAGAAAACATAATGAAGGAAGGCCTCCAGAAAGGAGATTGCAAGGCCCATGAAGTCATTTGAGTCAAAAATTGACATGAGGATGACAGAGCGGTATCAACCAAGTAACTCACCTGGAAACTCACAAAGAGGATGTCTCATCTTTAACCAGGAAAAATCGACTCAATACGAAAGCCTATCATGCAAAAGGCAAAAAGAAAGTTTAGCATACTTAATTAATTTCGAAAGCTGCATATGATCAAAAAATGAGGCCAATAATTACCATTTCATGAGAGATCATATTAGACTTAAAGAAATTCAACTCCAACATCTAATGACAAAGGGCCAGATAGTCGACATTTTTGCAAAACACTTATTGATTGCTAGACACCAAAAACTTGCACTCAAGCCAGTGATCACTCGCGTAAATCCTCAACTTAAAGAGGGGCAAAGAGGAAGTTTAGCATACTTACCTTCTTTTACCTCTTAGATTTCTCCTCTTCTTTTCTTCGTGCATAGCATCTGCTCATAAGTGTAGCATAATGTTCTTCTATATTTGTTATGCAAGGGTTAAAATAATGTGGATGAGAATTTTAAAAAAATGTAAACTTAAATTAAAAAAAAATAACATTTTAAATAATTATTTACACACTTAAGTGGAAATTCATTTAGGGTCTATTTGGAGCAGCTGCAACTTATTGAATAATATGTTGATAAGCTGATTAAAATAATCTGTTTGTTGATAAGTTAGGTACGGTGGCTATTAAACATTTTTATTTTTTTAGAAAAGTCAGACCGTTGTTGTTTTCAACGTTTTGAAAATTCTAAGCAGTCAAAACACAGTTTACTTGAACGGGTCTAATGCATTTTTAAAAAGTGCACCAAATAAACTGTTCCAAAGGGACACTTAATATAAAGATTTTCATAAACCCACCGTAGGGTAAATATGTAAATTTTGACTTCTTGTATAAATAAATATAAACTTTAATTGTACTACATATAAATAAATGCTTTTGTTTACTACTTTTCGTGACACGTTGAGACGACCCTTTCGCGCATACTTCCCTTCCGTACTCAGCTCCTCAACGCTTCTCCCCTGCTTCAACTTTCTCTCGACATAGTTTTCTCCTCCGTCCTCTCACAGAAACCCTAATCTCCCTTCCCACTCCAGGCGTGAGAAGGGAGAGAGTATGGCTGGGGATGGAGGAGTGCACCCGGATTGCCCTAACGCTTCGAATCCCTTCCACATCTGCGCTGAGTATTGCTCCCACGGACCTTTTCCTCGATCCAATATTCAAGCCACTAGAGAGATATTAGGTTCATCTATACTCTTATCTTTCTTTATGTTGATCACCAGCTCTAATTTCTGTTCTTCTTGAAATCGGTGCAGTTCTTAATGGTGTCGGCAGCAAGGAGAACGGCTACGGCGAGAAGGTGGAAGGAGGAAGAAGAAGAAGCGTCGATCCGTTGTGTGTGAACGCATCCAATCCGTTCCACCAATGTTCCGATTATTGTGTTCAAAGAAATCACGATGGGAAATCGCCATTAAAAGGAACTAAGTTTGGTAAATCCCATTTAATTCCTTCCGAAGTTTAAAGTCGCGGAACTTTTTTTAATTGCTGTTTTTGGTTTAAAGGCGGAAAAAAGGAAAAGGTGGTGGTTATGGATAATAGAAAGGTGAATCTGAGCTGCCCGAATGCCTCCAATCCTTTCCATCAGTGTGCTGAATACTGCTCTAAGAGAAGTGTTGGTGCAGGTCAGCATAAACGGGGCAGTTCAGGTTTGTTTTTTATTTTCCTGCTGTTTTCTTACTAATTTTTAAATTATAATATGGATGCTTATGGTTTCCTGCTGTTTTGGATTCAGGAGGGTCAACTAGCAAAGGAGGTTTGACCGTTGCGCAGAGAAAGGATGTGAATCCATCCTGTGTGAATGCTTCAAATCCCTTCCATAAATGCACCGAACACTGCTCCCAGACTCGGAAAACTAATGGAGTCTCGTAGCTGAATTCAGGAGCATTAATTAGGTATTGTTCTTTGCTGATATGTTCTTCTCTGGCTGTTTCAAACTTGGTTTTTTAAGATTTTTGCTTCAGTGCATTAGCTCTCTACATGTTTTATATTGCTTAATCTCTGACAGTAGTCAGGCTACTCTAAAAGTTGATTCAGGTTAACTTATTTTAAGAAAGTTTTGAGAAAATTATATTTTTTTGTTATCTTTGACCATTACATTAGAAAAAAAAATGGTGGGAAGATAAAAAATTTGTTCCTGTTTTTTTATTATTATTATGATCCAACCTCTACCTGCATTACTGGTACTACCATTGCTAAGTTAAACTATGAGGTTCGGTTTTACCTGATCGGCTTTTTATTTATAATCAGTACTGGTATTAAAGGTTCTTGCTTTAGGCGGGGAACTCTTGAATGAGGAGTGGTCCTAAAAGGTTTGTTCATGGAGCCAGTTAATGTAATAGCAGAAGGAATATTGATTGCGTGTGGCGCTAGGCTTTCCTGTTCAATAGTGGGGTCGTACTCGTAGCACTTGATCCGCCGGGTTGTAGAAATAAATAGATTTGAAAGGGAACTTGCGTTTCAAATGCACCTTTTTGTTTTTTGGATGATTATTGTATTTACATATTAACACCTAAACTTCAATTTTTACATATATATGACAACTTCTACATGAAAAGGTGTTTTTTTTTAATTTCAAGAAAAGGTTTATTTTGCATTTTAAGAGTTAAAATTGTGGTATTTTTTATGTCAGTGGTATAGATGTAAAAGCCAAATTTTAGGTGTTAGATATTTAAAATCGTAGGAATTGAGTGTTATTTATGTAAACGCCCCCTTTTTTTTATTTTCAGGCCGGACAATTTAGAATTCTTCACTTTATTTCTAACTAATCTGCCACACATTCAAACATGTTTTAAATGCACTTTTGGGAAACCTGACACAACCTAGACTTTTTAGAGCCTTACATGTATGAGACTTTTGTTCATCTTTTAGTCTTTTGTTATTTGAATGAAAAAGAAAATGTAAAAATTTCAGCTTTCCTCAACAAAAAGGGGATTTTGGTTTTTTTTTTCAATTTTCAAGATGGGAGAAATTGCATAACTAATTCTCTTTCTTTCCCCTTTTAAAAGATGTAGCTGTCTAAGATTTTAAATTTTATTGAAGGGCTGTAATAATTGGGGATTTAATGAATTAAATCTTTAATTGAAATTTTGTTTCACACATTACTAGGTTTTTTTTTTTTTTTTTGTTATTTCAATGTCTGTCATCCTATTTCTAAGAATCTTTAATTGAAATTTTGTTATTTCAATGTCTGTCATCCTATTTCTAAGAATCTACTGGATAGTGTGGAAATCTAGCAGCATTAAATCTTTAACAATCATCATCATTTCCCTTATCTCAACCATTTGGGATCTATTTTCTAAATCCTCATTCTTTGTCCATTTGTGTTGATTGCCAGATGAGGTGTAAATCTATTTAAAAAACTTTTCTTTGCATAACTTCTATTTTACTGTTAGCCTGTCCTTCTTTTTAGCGTAATTTACATATGTAGCACCCAATTCTTATGGATTTAGGTATCTCACACCAAAACTTTCATATTTGCACGCATAGCACTTTACCTATTCATGAAAAGGTGGATTTAACTAATAAAAAGGGATAATTGGTGCTATTTGTGCTTTGATACAATGGAATTGAGTGCTATATGTGCAAATATGAAAGTTTTGGTGTTAGATACGTAAATCCATAAGAATTGTGTGACATGTATGTAAATGCCCCATTTTTATTTCCTCCTGGTAGTACACTTCTTCTTTTACTGTAAAGCCTAAACCACCCAAGTCTATTACTCCCATCATCTCTCTATTATAACCATTTCTCAATTTATCATAAATAATTTTATCATATATTCGCCTTAATATTCTCATTTCTACTACGTTTTATTTATCTATAATGAATTGTTTGACACCCAACTGTTGTATCCATGTAGATGATTGTTTTAATTTCATATAGATATACTTTTACTTTAATTCATGGTTCATTCTTATTTTTTACTACTTTTTAAGCATTTCTTCATTTTAACCACATAGCTTTAACTCTAAATGTTTTACATGACATTTTCACATCTCTTAAATCTAATAAATTTGGATGAAGATTTATCAATTTCTCGCCCACAATCGTTGTATATGAAGCCTTTTTATACAATAAATTTACACAATTCAAAAGCAAAATCCTAGATTCATAGTGATAGTCGACTAATATATTTCTTTTACAAAATATATTTTGTTCACTACCATTGCTGGTTCACAAGCCCCGGATGTGAAAAATTGAGAATTGTGTTAGGTTGTCGAGAGCCTGCGTAAAATTTGTTGAAAAATCATAACATGAATCCTTTTAAATAGGACGCAATGGAGAAAAAGGATTAATGTACCCAACCCCATTTAGTGGGATAAAAGTTTTGTTGTTGTTGTTGCAGATAACGAGAATATATTTGTTGTTTGAAATTTTATTCAAAATCTTCAGATATTCGCAAATATGTGCCCTTCATCCTCACCTCCATATTCAGCCTTGACCAGTTATAATGTTTTTTCCCAACTTATCATCTTTAGACAAGTTATCATTATTATAAAGTAAAATGATAGCTAGATATGACAGGTTTTTTGATGAAATTATTAGATATTTACTGTTGTTTCCTTATGTTATCTTCTTATTTGTTTTGTTTAAAGGGAGTGTGTTGGGTTGATTGGTAACTCGTAATTTTGAATTCTCAATTTACTTTTGGATGAAAATATATTTTGTATCCTATTAATTGCATCATGAAACTCTAATCCCTAGCCATCTTTTGTATTAATGATGATATATATATATATATATAGGCTAAAACTTCTAGAGTTATGTTAGATATTTAAAATGAAGAATATCTACACTTTACTTTTTACATTTATACCTGAATCTTTCATATCAAGTCAAAAATATCACCATTTTAACTATTAAAAAGTGAAATACACATTTTCATGCATAGGTAAGGTGACATATACATATATATGTGTAAAAATTGAAGTTTAGGTGCTGCATATGCAAAGACATAGGAATTGAGTGGTATTTATATGTAAATCTTCAATTTATAAAATTATAATCAAGTCACCATCTTGTATGAACATGAGTATTTTATAATAAGTCATTAATATGCTAATTCAATTAAGATGGCTGTATACAAAACTAAGAAGGATAGAATGAGAAATTAATATATTAGAGAAATTATAGGATTAATGTTGAAAGATTATCCAATATGATAACCAGATAAAATTTATTCAACAATATCAAGAAGAAAATGACTATAGCCAATATAATTGTTGATAAAAGTTATAAAGAATGATTTCTGCAATATCTAACATCTAGTGTAGAACTCAACAAAGATGCATAAAAAAATGGAGAATTTATAAATAAAACTGTCATGAAATGTATTGAAAAATTAGTAGTATCTTCTCATTATAGTAAATTCATATAAAGAAAAGCATCTCGATGATCCTCTTGACTTTTTGTCTGGAGTCATTTTCGTCCCAAAGTTTATAAAATTATCAATTTAGACCCTAGGACTATTTCAGCTTCTTGAGACTAATTTGTCACTTTTATAAAATAGCCCTATGTAAATGATTAGAGGACTAGTTTGGCACTTCACTGAATTGATATGGTTGGGTTTGTAAATTTCCTCGCAAATGCATTAATTTTCTTTTCCTTCACCACACCTTTATTTAAATCTTTGAATATTTAAATGTAATTTTGCTTAACATAAAAAACTGATTTTTTTTTTTTTT